CTCTCTCTCTCCCTCAGCCAGCAATTTTGGGACGACTACTCATACGTCACTCAGCCTGATGTATTCTAACGTGAGTGAGAAGAGTTGTAAATAATAAATGCGTTTTTCTTCTTCTTCTTCTTCTTCTTCTTCTTCTTCTTCCTTCTTCCTCCGAGGCTGCTCCCGCGCGGCTATGTCAATCTCCTAATGAGCCTAGGACCAGCTGTAGGGCTGAAAGGAGAAGCCCGCCGGAGCCCGCTCGGAGAGACACGAGGGACCCCCTGGAGTAGGCAACCGGCCGCCTGTTGGGTAGGCAAGCGCGGCGCACGGGTGGCGAGCGGGCTTGCCTATCGGGCCATTCACGGGCTGAAAGGGAACGCGCGGCCGTCGCCCACCGCTGTTGGAAAGAGACCAGAACAAAAAAACCGCGCCTCGTCGCGCTAGGCAAGCGCGGAGGGCAGCCGTCGGGAGGGTTGCCTACCCTACCCCCAGGTTGAAACGGCTGATAGAGAGACAGGATAAACAAAGGTGCTAAGTCGTGCCTTTCTCGGGGCACTTATCAAAGTCTGAAATTAGTGCCCCTGTAAAGGCACTAAAGGGCCTTAAAGGTACTAAAAATTAGTGCCTTTGGCAGTTTTAGTGCCTGTTGAAGGTAGGACTTTGCAGCTTTGTTTTTCCAGTGGAGACGGAAAGGTACATCTACAGCGCGACAGGGGGTATTTCCTGTTCACGGCAAGGTGGTCCGCCTGTCCGTGACGAGAGCGTCACAATTGGCAAGGAAGAGTGTCCCACCGGAGAGGGTGGGCGAGCGAAGGGGAGGGTGAGGAGGGGCGACGCGGGAAGGGCACTCAACCTTATGTCTTGTTATTCTCGAGTAGGGCTTTCCTCCGACACAAATTGAAGCTGGCCGTCGGCGAACCTGGCAAGTCTGGAAACTATGGGGAAAGCGCGCCGGAAGCGGATCTGGGCAAGTTTTATCCAGTGTTTTCATCACGTACTTTCACGGTGACCAGTGACCATACCATACACCACGTTTGTCGGTTAAGCGTTTTATGTGTTATGGTATGTGTTATGCCTTCGAAAAGAAAAAAGAACAACGAGTGTAGTGCAGTAAATTTTCACCACGTTTGGTCGTGAGTGAAATGTGGAAGTGGGCATGGCAGTTCTGGGAGGGTAGCGAAGGGGACAAAAGGGGGGGGGGGGGGCTATTGAGTGGAAGCGGGTGGTCTATCGCTGAGGCGCAGAGTGGTCGAAATGTGCGTCGTGTCGCGGTGGCGTTACAATGAGACGTCGAGAGAGGGACAGAAGACGGATCAAACTGAAGAGACGGGGGGCGAGAGAGGGAGAGAGAGAGAGAGAGAGAGTAATTGAAATTGAGAGAGAGAGAGAGAGAGAGAGAGAGAGAGAGACTCCCAGAGGCGTCGTTGTACAAGTGGGTCGGCCGTGACATGTGGTGGTGCGCAGTGCTGCAGCGTTACTGGCCCGCCGTACGCATCCGCTGGCCCGGGGCGCTGGCTGGGGCGCTGGGGGAGGAGGTTGTGCTGCCGGGGGGTGCTGCCGGGGGTGCTGTGGGAGGTCGCTCATGGACCGGCCTCGATGCTCGATGCCTCTTTTATGATTCTAACGACCGCCGGCACAACAACCCACCCCGAGCCGACACATATGCAGTGCCCTGCAAGGCAAGGCACGTGCTGCGCATTCATATTGACAAAAAAAGAAGCTGAAACATATT